GCCTATGCATACCTATACTTTTAGAGGACAACCCCTAGACAGTGCTGCCATTCCAGCATGGTTATACAGCTTCAACATAATTCCTTTACCATGTTACATTTTAGGGAATTTTAATTCATTTTGGTTTCTCTCATTCAAATCATGAATGGAAAAATGAACACATCAATATGATATGATTAACACACATGGATAAATCCAGATTAGGACCTATGAATTAAAATGCTCAGAGCCCAGCACCTAGTGACCAGGTCTCTTACCAGCTTTTCAGTATTAGCTTCTCTTTCTTGACAAACATTCTGTTTTTCCTTTGGTTTTTCACAAAAAAAGGTGCTTTTTCTTAAAATTGAACCTTTGGTTTTTCAATTGGTGCTTATTCAGTCTACTGAGTAAATACTGTACTGTAAGCATGCAAACGTTTGAAAGCTGGGAACCATAAATATTTTCATAAACAAAGGGCACATCTACATGAGAGGTTTACTGCAGTTGCCTAATTAACGCCACAGTAAAATCTCAGCATCTATATGTGCAGCCCTAATAGACTGCAGTAAACTAATAGAAGTCACCGTAGGTTAGTACTTGACTATCCTGTAACTGTTACTGAGTGCGTCGCAATGCATGTGTAGATGCTGACAGGGCTGGCTGGGGTACAACGGTGCTTCAGTATGGGGACTGCCTGTCAGCTAGCCCTACACTGGAGCACCCTCATGGCCCAGCCATCCCCTCTGCAACACATTGAGGCAAGCTGGAGCAAACCAGAGATAGCAGCCTGACTCCCCAGGCCCTCTACCAGCTGGGGCTGCTCTGACCGGACTCAATGTGCTGTGGTCCTGGGTGCATGTGTAAACATGGTGCCCAGGAACAATAAACTCCAACACAAACTGTGCCAGAGTTTATTCAATTGAATTAACTGCCTGTGTAGATGTGCCCATAATTTCCGACAAGGTTTAAATGCAATAGGACACATCCTTTTCATGCAGTGTCTCTTGACAGCTTTTCTCAGGAGATACAGCTGCAGCTTTTAGTTTGTGGGCTGAGTTTACACAATAGATGTCACACAGATTGCCACTGTGATGCCATAAGGAATGGAGACACCAATGGCAGTTTGGTGTTATCTAGTTCATATTTCCCTCTTTAATTTATTCCCCCTTAAAACAGCTGCACACTGTTTCTTGTTTATTCTCAAGAATAGTAGTGTTATTAGCTCCACAAACTGACTGGCCAGGCTCTTTGAAAATCCTACTTGCTGTGAGTGGCAAACTCCTGAACATATATTTAAAATAAAAATGTAACAAATACGTTTAAGCACAGGCTATTTGATACAACATTGTGTTGGCAGGGTGGGGAGGAGAGAGGTTTAAACTCCTCTTTTGTGATAGTCCATATCAGATGATATCTGACAAATCTCTACCTTTTATGAATGGTGGATCATGCTAAACCTTAATATAGGCTAGTGCATGGAGTTGTGGAAATGTAAAGAGAAACATCACTTTCACTTTAATTTATATTTTGATATTTTAATCTTCATTTCTTTCCACACAAAAAAGGTTTTTTTAGAAGATAATCATGTTTCATTATTTAGAGGATAATTTTTAATATGACTGTTTTCGTATGTCTTGGTAGGCAAGATAAGGTCTGTGGTGCTATGATCAAGAGGCACCACTAGATGTCAACCTTTTCCAACAAGTTCATAGTGCATTTCTAATCTTGCCTGCTTCTGCATCTGTGACCAGGAAAACTTGTGTTTGACTATGAACATGACTCAGTAAACCAGCATTAGACTAGTGAAAAAACATAACAAAGCAAGACAAAATAAACCAAAAGCAGCATTCATTTTCAGGTTATGTTTTAAATATTTTCAATGTAAGATTATATATACTGTACCGGCCACTGTTGCCCATAAATAAAGATCTGACTGCGAGCGATGTCTACTCTATTCCAGGCTAAGGCTAGGCTCAGTTGGTCTGGAGCAGATGCATTGGCTCCTAAATAAGTAGACAGGGGAAAGAAAAAAACATATTTTAGATTCAGCCAGTGATTCAGCATCAATGTATATAGGTCAACCTCCTGAAGGCTTCACTTGTCAAAACTCCTGGTGTCTGTGACAATCCTACCTGTTCGTGGAATCTGTCTTATGTCATCAAACACAACTCCTCTCTGGTGCCTGTAATAAAATCCTATAATAAGGTCTTGCCTTTCATTCATGGACCTCAAATGATTTCACAAGAATTGGAACATTATGCCTCACACCACCACTGGTAAATACATATATTTTAAAGATGTTGGCTGCAGGTATGATAAGTGACTTGCTTCTCCTCCGACAGAGATAAAAAATTAAACTCTAATGAAAGCCTAGTTCTTCATGTCCTGCTCCAACTGCAAGACTGCACACACAGGCATGTGTCTGGCCTATATACTTGCCAATCTGGACCTGGCCTGATTGATTTAGTATTAACAGGTTACAAGCTTTATATATAATATTGTCTGGTGACTGAGGATTCTGTACTGGAACAAAGATTTCAAATTCACCAAATAGGAATTCACTTGTGCTACCTGTATGGCTGGAGAGCTAGTTCCACAGCAGATACCTTCTTACAAGTAAGCACGATATACATGTTATAAAAATGTAATATTAAGTAAGAGAACATGCAGATGAATATTACAAAGAGTCAGGGATATTTTCGGAAAGCCAGAGTTCTTGTATTTATTTTTAATTGCCTCTGTTGGACCTACTTGATCTGCTGTGATTTTTTTAAAATCTTGTAATATTTTTAATGGCTATTGACATGGCCTGTAATTAAAAACCAAACCAGAAACAGCGTTTGAATTTCAGTAATTAGGACTCTTTAATGTTGCAAAACACATATTTGCTGGTTGAGAGTGGAAGACAACTTTCATATTAAAGTGATTTTGTATCCAGTCCTCGAGAACAAATACACTTTGAAGAGTTTGAAAATGGTTTTGTTTCCATTTCAGAGCTACACAGAATTCTAACACACATTATTCTAACAGGAACCAGGCCTCTTCAATCAGAAGCAAAGAAGACATGCAGTATGATATGTTATACTGGCCCTTAAAATTCTCGGTGAAGAGTAAGTCCAGGAGACCCTGGAAGGGACTAGA